TGTTTAGGTTGTTGGGGGTGTGTTTTTTGGTTTTGGGTTTATATTCCCATAATGCCAGTTTCATCATCCTCTCTCCATTTCTTATAACTTGTGGCTGTTCTTTTCCTTTTACTTTGTTTTGATGTTTGATGCGTTCCTCGTGTCGTTTGACTTGATATGTGTTTATGATGCTTTCGCACACCGGACATACTAATGTTTATTCATTTTTACGATAGTAGTATTGTCTGGCATATTCTCTTAATTATCTTGGTTTTTCTCCCTGTATTGTTGCTTTGCTTCCAGACATAATTTACATCACTTCTGACATGTTCACGATCGATTCACTCTCACTTGTTCAGCATTCGATCGGCTTGGAGCGCTGCGCACATTTTCCAAGCTCGAAGTGGCATGGGGATACGAGCTAGGAACACAGATCAAAATGAGACAGGTTAGGGATCCCTCTTCATCATCGGCCCGCACAGGGGTCTCTTCACGAGAAGCTCAAATTGGAGCACAAACCAGAAGAAGAAGTAAAATGACCCACTGTCTCAAACATCAAAGTTCACTCTGGAATAAATCACAATCACTCAGGAATCCTTGCACAAGGTAACTCACGTACGAAGGCGCGGTCGGCCGACGCTCGTGCCTGACCGCCCCAGAGCATCCACTCCAGGGCGGGTGGGTAGGGTTCTTTTGCCTGGCAAGGCTTGCACAGAGGAACTTTAGCCAAAATGGCAATTGAATGATCATCAAATGTAAATAAATAAATGCTGAACAGCCATGTCTAAAGTGACCCTCACATCCAGACCAACCTGACCGACATGTGAGACCCACTTCTGACATGTTCACGATCGATTCACTCTCACTTGTTCAGCATTCGATCGGCTTGGAGCGCTGCGCACATTTTCCAAGCTCGAAGTGGCATGGGGATACGAGCTAGGAACACAGATCAAAATGAGACAGGTTAGGGATCCCTCTTCATCATCGGCCCGCACAGGGGTCTCTTCACGAGAAGCTCAAATTGGAGCACAAACCAGAAGAAGAAGTAAAATGACCCAGGCCCCAACCAAGACTCATTCCGACCGGCCTAGTCGAGAGACAACTGTGGTGGCCACAAAACCTCCACTGTTGACCACCCAGCACGAGCGCCTGTCTCCAGGTTATCCCGGGACGGGTGGTCTGCCGGATTGGCATCCGTTGCCACACGATCGATGAAAACTTTACACTGAAGTTGAAGAACTAGGTCCCAAAAGACCGAAACTAGAAGGCATAAGTCTTCACGACTTGAGTAGCCTTTGACCAAAGCCGACTCAACCACCTCCGAATCGATGAAAAGAAGGAGGTCAGCTCTGAACAGCCTATCTGAAAAAGTTTCAAGAGCTAAAATCGGCGCTAGCATCTCGACAGGGATGATCTGCGTCCTTCGGGCCAGCCATCTCTGCTTCAGTCGCTCCGGAACCCGAGCAGTAAACTGAACAGGGTGTGTCATCCTACGGTCAAAAAGGACAGCGCCTACTCGATCGGGTTTCTTCACTGCGTCACGAGGGTCTGGCGAGAAGCCATCTGTGAACAACACAGTGTCAGCCTTCTTCGAGGCACAGAAATCGATCGTCCTGGGCGGTCCGTGATCAACCAGTTTGAGCCACTGCTTCAAAGATTCCTTCAGTGCACCATCGAGGTCGAACGACTCGGACGAAGGGAAACGAGCGTACTGTCTCTCCGAAATAGCACGAAGAAAAGCTCGACCCACTTTGCCCCAAAGTTGGCTGGCCCCGAACATGAGCTTGCCTTTGAGCTTCCCGGCATGTCCTGGTTCGAGCACACCTGAGTCGAGCACTTCTTGAATCTCCTCCATGAGCTCTGTGCGCCGATCGGCTTTTAACTCAAGAACCCAATCGACCAAGTTGTATGTCACACCTAGGATCACAGGTTTTGAGCCCAACTGCAGCTTCTTGGCATCGAACGAAGCTCCGAGCAGCCAATGCACGGTTTGAGCCACTTCGAAAGCCGAATTCACTGAACTAGCAGGTTCAAAGCCATATTTGTCATCATAGAAGTTGAAAGACACCATGTTGAACAAACTCATCAGGATCTCATTGATGGCAGCCGACCGTCTGTTGTAGTTGTAGACGGCCGACACTAATCCGAACGAGTGACCCACCATCACGAAAAACGATGGAAGGCCCGAGCTAGGGTTCTTCTGGCAGATCACGCTGAACTTCCTGTGATCCGGGCGAATGGCCACCTGCCGATAGGCCTTTCTTTCATCTAAGACCCAACCAGCCATAGGAGTCTCTGGCAGTGCCGATCGCAAAGACCTCAGAGCTGCTACGTTCGTATCCGTCGAGGGTAGTTGCAGCTTTTCAGTGATCTGGGTGACTTGGTTGATGAAGTTGGTGGTTGCACTGTCGCAGCCCCTCACTTTATTCTTTTGAACGACCTCGAACCGTTGGGTAGGAATCCAATCATCACAGTTGAGCAAGTTGGTGACCTCCTCAGGTGTCTCGAAAGGACCCAGGGTGGATCCCTCTTTGACATCATCCATGGTGGATTCCCAAATTTTCGACAAGTTCTCAGAGATCGGGACCGAACGGACTCTGTTCACGATCTTCTCCCGCAATGCCCAGGCCCGATCCAAAGCATACTGCACAGGCAGCCCGGATTGAGGTTTGTCATACTCAGGCCACCTGCGCGAGCGCGCGATGGGTCCCACTATGGGAAAGCCTTGGAGCAACAGGTCAGGCAGGAAAGCGTCCACCGAGCTGCAGGCCGCAAGCATCTCATAGTATAGAGCCACGTGGCACGTGCGGCCCAATGCGCCAGGTTGGCCCTCTGGGGAGCCTCTCAACAACCGACGCAAATGCTGATCAGGTAGCGCCTCGATCAAGGCCATGGTTGCAGGAGCAGCTCTTGAGCACGGTGTGTCCAGTACTGCAAAGCCTGAAGCCGGTCACGAACGACCCCGTCAACATCACTGGTCAGTCGTTGAACATAAACACGAAGAGCAGGGTCAAGAACTGTTTCGGCAGACAACGGATGTGGGATCGACAAGGCCCATGCGATCGCAACACCGGGTTCCGTCTCCATGTCCAGCAGTGGCTTCCGAGCGCCTCGCTTAAGCTGATAGCCTGCTGCCTCAGCCTTCAGGGCGGTCAGAGCCTGTCGATGTGGAGCACAACGAGCGGCTTGTCCGAGAGGACGCTTGCGATCGGAAGTGCAGAGCAGGAAACTTGGCGCGAACTGCTCACCATCGTTGAGCCAGAAGCCTTTGACCACAGCTGTGAACACTTCACACAGATCAGAGGGGTAGACCTGCGCCAGCTTGGTACGGAAGACCCATTTGCCGAAGAAGTCTGACCAAACTTTCCCTTTCAAGCGAACATGTTGGTGATCACCTGGACAACGCGCGGCGATCGCCTCGAATGCTTGGTGCGAGGCCAGCAAGCGAGTCGGCTTCACCGAAGGGGCTCCGTAGAAGCACTGGTCGAAGTCAATGAACCAGGCACGCGTCCTTTGGCGCAACTCCCGAACCGGTGGGGTCAGCCACAACAAGCTGAACTCCGGGTTCTCGATCGAGTAGTCACCTCCGTGGAGGAAGACTTCCAGGCATACCTCGAAGGAGCGGTACAAGAAGAGGTTCCCGAACAGCACCAAGCACTGATCATCTTCCGACAGGGAGGCAAGACCCATGGGCAACTCGACCGAACGTAGCGGAGGAGGACCACCATCCAGCTTACGAGCCGCTGAGAATGTGTTGCAAGGTGTCCCACAATGTACGAACCGAATGGCACCAGCACGAGCTAAGGCCATAATGAAATCCCAGTTCACAGCATCGACCACATCGAACGGTTGTGGAACCATGTCACAAGGTGTGATGTCGATCGGTGGCAAGCAAGGAAGGTTGCTGGCGCGAGCGGCTCTGGTGAGATTGGCTGTACCTGAGAAGATCTCAAGAAACCAAGGGCCCAAAGCTGCGACCGCAGCTGCATCACGTGGGACGTCAGCCCACGACTCCACACTGGGGGCGGCACTGTCAATGGC